AAAAAAAAAAAAAATTTGAGTTGCCCATTAGATATCCAAGTGGCAATGTTGAGAAGGCTATTATATATAGGAGTGAACAAGAAGGTAAAGACAAGTCACTATAAAAGGAAGCAGAGAAATGAAGCAGCTGAGAAGGGAATATATGGCATGTAATTATGGTGCAAGAAAGAGAAAGAGACTGATACAAGAAGTAACAATGAGGCAAGAGATAGAAGGACAATTATAGAAACACTGTCTTTCAATAGGCAACCAGTGGAGGGGATGGCCTTATGTAGCAGACCATTCAGTTCATTCACAGGAACAGGAGGGAAGGCAGAGTGTTGGTAGATGAGCTAATGGTAGGATGTGGACATTTTCTTCTGATTATTTCTTTTCCCTTAGTGAAACAGGAAGCAAGACCAACAGGTTAGAGTAAGGATGAATGACGTTTTAGAAGTTTGAGGACATAAGTGAAAGAAAATGACATGAAATACTCACTAGGAAATTGGGAAACTGAATGCACTAGAAAAATATAGTATGGGCAGTACTGATGGCAAACTTGACCATGAATTTAAAGTGAGACCAGTCAGCATGGTTCTGTGTTTCTCCCAGGCTACATTCAGGTGCTTGAGTGCAGGTACACAGTAGAAAGAAAGTGAACTTCAAGAAGTTAAGGATTTGCCAGGGAAGTATGCTAGACAGAAGAGGACACAAAGGAGTTGAAGGCACATGCAAGAAAATGATAATGATGAACCAGAGAATCTAAATTGGATAAGTAAGCAAATGAGGATAACAGAAGTGAAAACATATGGCAGAGTCAATGGATTGAAGGTTCTGGTAAGACTGAAGAGTTACTTGGAGATGGGGTAATAGAAGTAAATTAGAAAGACAAGAAATGGTGACTGATGAGTGAAATGCAGAAATTGAGACAGTGGGAGGATACAGTTATTAGTAGTTATTATAAATGATAAAGTCTACGGTATGATCATAGGAGGAGATGGTTGGAAGGGGTTGGGAGGACAAGATTATTTGTGATGAGGATGTATGTAACTGAGAAGTAAGGATCTTCCTCATGAAGTATGAAATCACAAGAACTAAGACAGGAGTAGTAGTGAGAGATGAGCCAGGCATATTTCTTAAGATTTATATTATGATAGAGATTATCTGCACAGTTCAGGTGTTACTATATCAGTTTTTTTCCTACCACCTATTCTGTAGTGTACTGTGCCTCAATAAAGGGTACTGTTAAAGACTTCCCATTTACTTTTGCAATATAGTTGCTTTCAGTCAACATCATAAAGCTGTATCTATCTGTTCTCAAGAGATCATCCTAAATGGACTAGATGGACAAGCAGCAGATTAATTCCCTAACCTTGGCTCTTGAAGTTTAACACTCAGGACATGATAATATTTCCAAATACTAGAATTATTGAGTTCTGACTATATTCCAAGGTTTTAGAAACAGGAGATACAGTGGTAAAGAACTAAGAAAAGAAGCCTCTGGTCTGGTATCACAATACATGGCCAATATCATTGGTACTGCTTACTATGTTCATTGACGCTAGGCTTATTTAAAACTCATCAAATATTTATTGGGTGATTTTTTTGTACTTTTATAAAAAAGTGAGCAAAATAGAAATAGTCACTGTTCTCAAGGAGCTTAAGTATAATTTAGAGAATAATGAGAACAATGAAAACAAAACAATAACTATAAGGTTTATATTGGTGACCAAAAGGGGTGCTGATTACCTTTTTATTTAGTCTCAAAGCATAACTTATTTTTCCTGCTTTATATTAAAAATAAGAAAACATGGCTTCAGACTACATCAGTCAATTTGTTAAAAAATTAATAACATAAGACAAGCACAAAACAATTTTTCTTTAAAACGCTTTAGAATCAGAATAAAAACTCTGAATAGCTTCCTTGCAAGCAAAACAACTGTATACCAAAAGAGCATAATTTTATTAAAAAATTACTTATGCAACATAAAAAAATGAAAACAGTATGGTGAGATTAAGAGTAATTCCTATTTGCCTTAAAAATTAGCTTTCTTCCATGCTATAATATTGTGCATTTGTGCAATCTTTAAAATTAGGGTTAAGGAATAAAAAACAACTTACCCTTCGGTCAGCTGCTACAAGTCTAAATTCCTGTACTAACTTGCCAAAAACAGATCTCTGTGGTTTTCTAAAAAGATGAATTGTCCCCTTTAAAACAAATGAAAAATACACAAATCAGCATTTAAGTATCTTCATAATTCCTGTGATATTATAGCAATAACCACTAACATTTACTGAATGCTCAATATGTGCCAACCAACTATTCTAGACACTCTACATGTACTTATCTATTCAATCTTCATGATAATCTACAAGGTGGAAACAGTTTCTAGTAAATTGTCGAAGGGCACAAACCTAGCAAATGACTGAACAGGAATTCAAACCACAGCATTTTTCCTCCAGACCACACTATTTATTTTTCAGTGGATTAGGTAATTTTGAACCAGAAAAGCAGTTTGCCAAATAGCTCCACTGATAAGAAAAATTAGAATTTACCAAGTCGAAGATTTGTATATGAAAAGTTTGCAACTGTTACTGTAGCAACCTCTGACGTTCTCTTAGGCATTCAGCGTATCTAACATCCTAGGTAGCCTCTGTGGTCTCCCCTATGCAGTATGGGGCCAGCAGAGATAGGGCCTGGCAGTGGGGTTACCAATAAGAAAAGAGACTGAGTGGCAACTAGTGTGGGATTTACCACTCAAGTTCCAGAAACCATGTGGGAAAGCCTGGGCATAGAGTTAGTGCACATATGGGAAATTAGCTTATGATTAAGGCAGTATCCAACATCAGTGGGAAGAACTGTGAGCTATTCAATAAAGGTATTTGGAAAAAGGTAAAGCTGGATCCTTACTACATTTCTCACTCTTTCATTATTTTTAAATTAAAATAAAAAGCTAGAGAAGCACCTTACTACACTGATGGACAGTGACTGTAATGGGGTATGTGGTGGGGACTTGGTAATGGGGGGAGTCTAGTAACCATAGTGTTGCTCAGGTAACTGTACATTAATGATAACAACAACAACAAATACATATATATATATATAAAGCTATACAGTACTTGAAGAAACTTATGGATGGTTAGTTTTATAATCTTGGAGTTGGAGAAGACTTATCTTAATAAGGATAAGTAAATAGGATGTAAAACCAAGAAGATGTAAAGGGAAAAATTGATTAAAATATACTATATACTTCCATGTTGGGAATACAATACCCTACAAAGTAACAAAAACAATTAAAAACCCTGGAAAGGAAAGATAAGCTGTGGGGGAAAAAAGTTTGTTATTCCAAAAGCAAAGTAATTATTTCCAGGGAAAAAAAATTTCCCAATTTTTCAACAGGTCATACATACATAATAATTTGATAGCTAACTGCCATGTATTTAAATATTTAGGTTTCAACAAAATACTTTCCAAGGTGGTAAAAGCCACCATCACCACAACCACCATACTACATTTCTACCTCATAAAGTTGGCAAACTTTACTCAAACACTGAAGCTACGCAGAAAGCAGTGGAACTGGCTGTGAGATTTAAAATGTGAAAGACTTTCAGATACAATTCCAACAGAGTATGATTTTCCTACAGTTAGTATCCAGGAACATCTCAGTAGTTATAAAAAGGTATGTCCTATTTCTTCAAAGCTTAGAAATATCGTTAGTGGCACTATGCTGAAACTCAGGAAAGGCAGAAACTAAGGCTGAGTCCTAGAACTCTGACATAAGAAAAATAGAATTGTTGAGGCTAAGTGATGGCTACATGGGGCTCATTATACCATATTCTACTTTTATGCCTGAAAATTTCCATATCAAAAAAATCACAAAGCAAAAAAATACTTTAAACTATAAACAAAGCATCAAAAAAAGTGTTACTAATTTTGATATACAAATAAAGATGTATAACCCTAAGGTTCTGCTAAGCCAATTCAGTTTAAAAGGAACAATACAATATTTTCATTTGAGATGTTAACAAATGCTAATGCTAATGGATTACTCTATTCTTAAAGAATTATGTATGGAATATTTCTGTCCCAAAGATAAATTCTGATTAATACAGTTACCCTTGGATAACATTCTAATATCAGCCCACTTTAAATTATTTAAGTTACTTTAACTGAAGTTTCAGGTAAAAACAACCAAGATTTCTAAAAGGCAGAGGGCCATTTCTTATGCCATTCTGATATTGGGGAAAAAACACAGAAATCCCAATTTTCACAGCACTCTTTCCAAATTATACTGGCTCTTCACTGCTATCAGGATAAACTCCCAATTTTAATGCTTTCAATGACTTAGCCCACTTTTTTCGTTTTATTTCTTGCTCCAGATCGTAATCCTCAACTCCAATTAAACTGGTATACCCCGTCTCTTGATCATACCACTCTACAGACCTGTATAATTAAGCTCTAATAGCCCTGTAACATTTACCAAGTTTCCTGACTTCTCTCCCATTTCCTCATCCAAGTGAGAGCAATGGATAGTAGATTAAGAGCAGTGGAGTAGTGCACAGAGCACTCAGTTTCACGGTTCACCTCTTACGTGAAACCGTCCTAGATTATTCCAAACTATACTGCTTTTCTTAATGCCACTTGATTTGTAATTAGCCAGAGTATAGCCTTCATCTTGTTATCTTGCATTTTGAGTTAATTTTTTAGTAGCTTCACTAATGACATGGGCTGTATTTCCTTATATTTTCTAAGATAGTAAATACTGTGTTTTGCATATAGCATGTTCTTAATAAACAATACACAATGAGTGACTCATAAAACCTTTGTTCCCAAGATTAAAACTTAAATACTACGATTTTCCTGTATTACTGTTTCAAGCATAAATATTTAATGTCATAATTATTTATTCAGTGCTTTGTAAAACACACATCTACTGAAAAATTCCTCTGGCCAGGCACTGTACAAGGCTTGGGAATACCAGAGTGAGTACACAGGTCCTGCTCTCAAAGAGTTTACAGTCTAGGAAGAGAGAGAGACAAGTTTTAAGTCTGGTAAGAGCTACTCATGCTATCAGTAAAAAGCACCAAGTTATCATGGGAGCATAAAAGAGGCACCTAAGTGGATCCTGAGGCATGCAAAAGGTTCATGAAAGAGACAAAAGGACACATAAGGGTTATACTGATAAGAATGAGGAGTAGGGGACAGGGAACAATTCTGGAAGATGAAACATACAAATTACGTGCAGAGGCCTATTTCTTAGAGAAGATATGCAAGCTGTTCACTGTGGCTGGGATATGGATGTATGTGTAAAAGGTCAGAAACTTGACTATAGATGGCTTTGTATGCCATGCTAAAAAGGATTTTATCTTGAGGGTTATAGAAAAAAAACTGGCTTTAATAAAAAAATTAAGGTATTTTAAATGAGGGAGTGGTATAGACAGATTTTAGAAAATAAACTCTGGCTATACATTGATGAATGTTTTTAAGAAGGCGTAGTTGGAGGCTATTTGGTCAGCTAATAAACTTTACCCACTATGTGTGTGGGTAAAACTTAAAAAACTTACAAATGATAAGGCATGTGAATAAGATACTTTTTTCTACTCAAGGGGAACAACAAGAGTGACAATGCCTTAGGCACAGAAACGTGCTCTTTTTCTCATATGGAGACTATCAATAAGAGAAACAATGAATTTTTCTAATAAAATGCTGTGCACTTCTTTTGACACTGAAATCACAAATGCTCATCTTAGGTAAAATCAGAGAGCTATACACTTGATTTCTAAAGGCATAAAATAACTAGTTCCTCTAACAAAATTTAGATGAAAACTCCACATCTCCAAAACTGTAAGGCTACTGGGATCTAGAAACGCAAAAAGAAAACTGCAAAAAAGGTTCTCTACCGACACTTCGACTTTCTCCAATCACTGGCCTTCTGAAAGTTGCTGCTGTATCAGGTTATCCGGCATTCAACAGAGCCAAGGTGCAGAGTGGGAGTCCGCTTCAGCAGCCTACTAACCCTCTTGATTCACGCCAGCGTTATCGTCTCTGCTGTAAGCGTCACTATTACGGCGTTGTTGCTGTGGACTTGTTCTCGGAGCATTTCTTGGTATTTTGGTCGCTGACGCCGGCAAGGAAAATCTCGGCAGCCCCCTGTCACAAGCTCGCCGGGAGGTGACAGCTCGGCTTGGAGCGGGGCGGGGATGCCCACCGGCAGAGGAACTGAATGAGGGGGCGAGGGGGAAACAGGGCTCTGGGAGAACTCTCTCGGACACCAGCCACTTCTCCCGGGGATGGAGGCGGAGAGCGGGGCAAGAGCACAACTCCGACGACCCCTCCTCTGGGCAACGGACGCATCTCAAGGCCTCTTCAGGACCAGAGAAAATAAGGACACATCTACCGCAGAAACCCTCACAACCTAAGCCAACTCACCATGATAAGGAGCAGCGCAGCTCCCGCCGGAAGACGCTCTGGGCGCTAGCTTTTCTCTAGAGAGGAAGAGGTGGGGCACTAGAGGCCGATTGGCTGCGAGCGACGGGGGAACGGAAGTGCGTCCCGGCCTTCTGTCCCGCCCCCTTTCCCCGGGCGACCCTGGTTCCTATAGAGGAGGAGGTGGCGGCTAGAGCGGCTCCTCAGCACCTTTCGTGGGATTGGTGGTGAGCGGAGAGACCCCTGTCAAAGGACATTTGAGGTTTATTTGTAATGTCAGGAAAATTTCATTGGGTGATGTAACTTATGAAGTAGATAGTATTCTTATTTTACAAGTGAGAAAGCAGGAACAATAAGAGCCTTGCACAGAGACACATCTACTTTGCATAACTGAATTGAACTCAGATCAATTACAGAATTCTATGTTCCATTTCCTAAAATGCTACTTAAATTCTCTATACAATTAATTTTATTATGGAAAAAACATAAAATAATTCGATAAAGATTGAATATAGAGCACATGTGTGCCAGGGACTAGTCTCATGAAAATTATATTTTAGCAAGAAGAGACAAAAAAGTAGTGAGAAAAACTTTACAAATACATTGATAAGTAGTGTCATGTAGTTAATGCAATAATGCTATAGAGTAACTAGGTTGCTAATTTATAGTAGTACTTAGAAAAAGCTTCTCTAAGGAGATGAAATTTGACTTCCAAATGACAAAAGTCTTTTTGTGGAAGATTTCTCGGACAAAATTCAAATACCTAAGTCAAAAACAAGCAGGGGTGTTCTAAGATCTGAAAGAGAGCAGTTATGTCTGGAGCACAAGAGAAGAAATGAAGGTCTAAGTAGTAAACAGGGGCCAGATTAAGCAGGAAATTCATATTTATGGTAAAGAGCTTTGATTTTTTTTTTTCCTAAGTGAGAAAGGAAGCCAGAGGACAGTTTTAACAAGGCAGCGATCTTTACATTTTTAAAAGATCACTGTGGCTGTGGTATGGAGAATGAGTTGTAGATGGATGATATAATAGCTAATGATGATATAATAGCTAATGTTTATTAAACATTTCTGTGGTAGGTAATGATCTAGGAACTTACTATGTATTAGTAACTTAACTCTTAACATCACTTTGATATATATAGCCCCTGCTTGGAAAATTGTGTGTCAAGGTCACACACCTAATCAGTGGCAGAACCTAATTCTAAAGCCTTAACTGCTACTGTGTATTTAGTACTTACTTATGGACAAGATTAGGAGCAGGAAGACAAGTTAGAACACTACTGCCTCATTTATCAAAACAAATTATTCTTGATTTCTGAAGTTTCTTTATGGGCTTTTTTATTTTAACCAAATAGCAATCAAACTTATTATAGTCTTCCTATTTGGTGTAAGGATGTACTGTGACTTTTTCTTGTATTTTTCCAGAGTCTTATGTAATGGCCTTAGAGAACTCAGTCATAGGAATGTATCTTATATTTCATCAATTCCTTATTGATGAGTGCAACAGTCAGGGTTTATATGTAGCAAGAAGAAATCTCTCAAGCTATTTTAAGAAAAAAATAATCTAAGGCAATCTAAGGGAACAACTAGAGAGAATATTAACAATGCAATAGAAGACTTGAACAATACTGTATACCTATTAGACTTGATATCTGTCAAATACACCACCTAAGAGCAGAATATATTCTTCTCAGGTGTATATAAACCATTCTCCAGGATAAAACATATGTTAGGACAGATAAATTAAAGAAGATACCAATAAATGGAAACACATCCTGTGCTCATGGATAGGAAGAATTAACATTGTCAAAATGGCCATTCTGCCTCAAGCAATCTACAGATTCAATGCAATCCCTAACAAAATACCAACAGCATTCTTCAATGAACTAGAGCAAATACTTCTAAAATTCATATGGAACCACAAGACCCTGAATAGCAAAGCAATCCTGAGAAGGAAGAATAAAGCTGGGGGATTATGGTCCCCAACTTCATGCTCTACTACAAAGCTACAGTCATCAAGACAATTTGGTACTGGCACAAGAACGGACCCATAGACCAATGGAATAGACTAGAGAGCCCTGATATAAACCCAACCATATATGGTCAATTAATACATGATAAGGGAGCCATGGACATACAATGGGGAAATGACAGCCTCTTCAACAACTAGTGTTGGCAAAACTGGACAGCTACATGTAAGAGAATGAAACTGGATTATTGTCTAACATCATACACAAAAGTAAACTCAAAATGAATCAAAGACCTGAATGTGTCATGAAACCATAAAACTCTTAGAAGACAACATAGGCAAAAATCTGAATATAAGCATGAGCAACTTCTTCCTGGACACATCTCCTTGCAAAGGTAAACAAAAGCAAAAATGAACACATGGGATACATCAAACTAAAAAGTTTCTGTATGACAAAGGACACCACTGACAGAACAAAAAGGCATCCTACAGTATGGGAGAATATATTTGTAAATGACATTCCAACAAGGGGTTAACATCCAAAATATATAAAGAACTTACATGCCTCAACAGCCAAAAAGCAAATAACCTGATTAACAAATGGGCAGAGGATATGAAGAGACAATTCTCCAAAGAAGAAATTCAGATGGCCAACAGGCACATGAGAAGATGCTCCACATCACTAATCATCAGGGAAATGCCAATGAAAACCACAATGAGATATCACCTCATACCAGTAAGGATGGCCAGCATTGAAAAGACTAAGAAAAACAAATGCTGGTGAGGATGCAGAGAAAGGGGAACCCTCCTACACTACTGGTGGGAATGTAAGCTAGTTCAACCATTGTGGAAAGCAATATGGAGGTTCCTCAAAAAACTAAAAGTAAAATACCATTTGACCCAGGAATCCCACTCCTTGGAATTTACCCAAAGAATAAAACTTCTCAGACTCAAAAAGACATATGCACCTCTATGTTTATTGCAGCACTATTTACAATAGCCAAGATACAGAAGCAAACTAAGTGTCCATCAGTAGATGAATGGATAAAGAAGAGGTGGTACATATACACAATGGAATACTATTCAGCCATAAGAAAGAAAGAAATCCTACCATATGCAACAACATGGATGGAGCTGGATAACATTATGCTCAGTAAAATAAGCCAGGCGGAGAAAGACAAGTGCCAAATGATTTCCCTCATTTGTGGAGTACAACAACGAAGCAAAACTGAAGGAACAAAATAGCAGCAGACTCACAGACTCCAAGAAGGGACTAGTGGTTACTAAAGGGGAGGAGTGTTGGAGGGTGGGTGGGGAGGGAGGGAGATGGGGATTGAGGGGTATTAAGTTTAGTACACATGGTGTAGGGGGGTCACAGGGAAGACCGTGTAACATAGAGAAGGTAAACAGTGACTCTCTGGCATCTTATTACACTGGTGGACAGTGACTGCATTGGGGTATGGGTGGGGACTTGATAATATGGGTAAATGTGGAAACCACATTGTTTTTTCATGTGAAACCTTCTTAAGAGTGTATGTCAATAATACCTTAATAAAAAATTTTTAAAAAATGTTTGGACATAAAAGAGCTTTCAACAAATTTTAAAGGATTAAAAGCATAGAAACTATGTTATCCAAACATACTGGGATGAAATTAGAAATCCATTATAGAGGATATTTGGGATATTCACATCTTGTGGAAATTTAAAAAAAAAACATACTCTTAAATAGTCAATGCATCTGGATGGAGCTAGAGGGTATTATGTTCAGTGAAATAAGCCGAGCAGAGAGAGACAAGATTTCACACATTTGTAGAGTGTAACAACAGAGCAAAAACTGAAGAATTAAAACAGAGGCAGACTCACAGACTCCAAGAAGGGACTAGCGGTTACCAAAGGGAAGGAGTTAGGGAAGGGGAGTGGGGAGGGAGGGAGAAGGGGATCAAGGGGCATTATGATTAGCACACATAATGTAGGTGGGTCACAGGAAGGCAATATAACATGGAGAAGACAAGTAGTGACTCTATAGCATCTTAGTACACTAATGGACAGTGACTGCAATGGGGTGTGGGGGGACTTGATAGTATGAGTGAACATAGTAACCACAATGTTACTCATGTGAAACCTTTGTAAGATTGTGTATCAATGATATCTTAATAAAAAAAAGTTTAAACATGTCCATTCATCAAAGAAGAAATCACAGAGAACTTAGAAAATACATTGAGATAAATGAATATGAAAACTCAACATATCAAAACTTATTTGATACAGCCAAAACTGTAGAGGGAAATTTATAGCTGTAAATGACTATATCAAAAAAGAAACATCTCAGATCAATAATATAACCTTCCACCTTAAGAAAATAGAAAAACAAGATCAAACTAAACTGAAAGCAAGCAAAAGGAAGGCAATAATAAAGCTTGGAGAGGAAATAAGTGAAGTAGAGAATAGAGAAACTATAAAGAAAATCAACAAAACCAAAACCTGCTTCTTTGAAAAGCTCAACAAAATTGACAAAGCTAGACTGACCAATAAAAAAACAGACTCAAATTATTAACATCAAGAAAATAAGAAGTGGACATTATGGTTGATCTTCAGAAATACAAAGGATAATAAGGGAATATTATAAACAATTGTATGCCAATAAATTAGATAACCTTGATCAACTGTACTAATTTCTCTAAAGACTCAAACTACTGAAACTAACTCAAGAAGAAATAGAAAAAAAAAAGTAGAAAATCTGATTAGAAATATAACAAGATACTGAATTCTTAACAAACAAAAATCCCAGGCAGATAACTTCACTAGTGAATTCTATCAAACACTTAAATAGGAACTAACACCAATCATTTCACAAACTCTTCCTCAAAAAACAGAAGAGGGAACACTTCCCAACTCATTCTACAAAGCCAGAATTACTCTGATACTGAAACTAGACCAAAGACATTACAATAAAACTACAGACCAACATACCATATGAATACAGGTGAAAAACTTCAACAAAATGATAGCAAAATACATCTACTAACACATAAAGGAATCTTACACCATGAATGGGTGGGTATTGTCACAGTAATGCATATTTGGTTCAAC